CAGTAAGTTACTTTTGGGTCAGTCCCAGGCGAGATGAAGGGAACTGACAAGGGGTGGAGGGGAGGGACAGCCACCTTCACTCTGTAATCTGTTAGTTCTGATAGTTTGGTTGTAAATTCTTTGTGACTTTCTACATAGACAGTCATGCCATCTGAGAACAGAGATTGTTCTATTTCCTTCTTTTCATGCCCCATTGCAGGCTAGGACCTCTAATATGATGATGAAGAACAAATACCCCTGCCTTGTTCCTAATTTTAGAGGAAAAGTGATCAGTCTTTCACCACCAAGTACAGGTTAGTTGTTGGGTTTTATAGGTTACCCTTGGCAGGTTGACAAAGTGCCATTTTTTTTTTCATTCTGAAAACTTTGTATTTCAGAAAATGCAAAAAGGTTTGTATTTTTAAGACGTGTCCATTTTATCTAGGTTGTTAAATGTATGGGCACAGAACAGTTTGTTGATGTTTCATTGTCATTCTTGATGTCTGAAGTGTCTGTAATGATGTCCCCCTTTTCAGTCCAGATATAGGTAACTTGTTCTCTCTATATTCCTGGTGAGCTTGGGTAAAGGTTTGTCAATTTTGCTCATCTTTTAAATAAAGATACTCTTTCCCCCCATATTTAACTTTTTTATTGTGGTAAAATATACATGACATAAAACTTACCAGTTCAACCATTTGTAAGGGCACAGCTCAGCAGCATCAAATACATTCATGTTACTGTGCAACTACCACCCCATCTATTTCCAGAATTTTCATCTTCCCAAACTGAAACTTCCCAAACTCTGCACTTCTTAAATGCTAACTCCCCACCCCCGTCCCCTGGTCTCTGCTCACCACCATCTCACTTTCTGTTGCTGGGAATCAGACCACTCTAGGCCCCTCATCTAAGTGGAATCATACAGTATCTGTCAGTCAGCTTTTGTGACTTATTTCACTTACCACAATGTCCTCCAGGTTCATCCATTCTGTAGTGCATGTCAGAAATTTCCTTACTTTTTAAGTCTGAGTAATATTTCATTTTATTTATATATCACAGAATACATTGTTTATCCATCAACAGGCATGCGGGTTCCTTCCAATTTCTCGTTATTCTAAAATATGCTTCTATGAACATGGATGTACAAGTATCTGTTGACTCTCTACTTTCACTTCTTTGGGGCACATACCCTGAAGCAGAATTACTGGATCACATGGTATTTGTTTGATATTTTGAAGAATTGCATACCATTTTCCACGGCGGCCACACCATTTTACATTCCCACTGGCAGTGCATACAGGTAGCAATTTTTCCACAACCCTGCCAACACGTGTTTTGGTCTTTGGGTAACAGCCATCCTCAAGGGTGTGAAGACATCTCAGTGTGGCATTTCCCTAATGATCACTTTCTACCCATTTAAAAGGGTTTTTGTTGTTGTTGTTGTATGGATACAATTTTCGGTCTATTACCTTTATTATCTTTATGAAGTCTTCTGTTTCAAATTATGGAGTGAAGAGCTGTTTTCAGGGCTGAAGAGCATTTCAACAAGTTGGGGCAGATCCTTAATGGGCTGAGAGCCCCCAAGCTAACCATGGGCTTCAGTGGCTGACTCTATGGGTAGAGCTGATGACCCGTGGGCCTGCTGAGTCTGAGACACACCCCGAGTCTCTCCCAGAGGCTTCAGCATCTGGGGATGGGAGAGCACCCCCGACTTGCCTTTCGGATAATGATTTTTTTTCATATAATGAAATCCCCCTCGTTATAACCGCAAGCATTTGTGGAGCTGTATTTAGAAAAGTCTGGCTGCTTTTCAAAGACATCTAGCAGAATTTCGGGGTCCTACTGCTGGCCTTGCCCACTGAGCCATAATCCCCAGTTCCTCCTCGCTGCCCTGGGGCCCTGCTGTCTCTCTTGGAGGAACATCCCCCTGCTGGGCATGTGCGGTGGGTCGTTATCAACAGTGGGTGGACTGGGGCTGGTTCATCTTGTTCTCAGCCTGTCAAAAAGGGTTATCACTTAAGCCTACCGAACGGAGTGGACCTGTTGTCAAACGCACTAAACGCATCAGTTCCCAGAGGCAGGTTTCAGAACCCTTCGCAGTAGTGACTGTCCCATTACGGGAACGAGACCCGCTTCAGGTTTTGCATGCAGACGGTTCACTACATTTCCGGAGCACTGCCTGGTCTCTAGCACGAGAACATCACCCAATTCCAAGAAGCGGCTAGGTGTTCAAAAGCCATAACCCACGAGGACGGCAGTGCATGCTGTATACTACAAGGTCTACTTTTTCCAAAGGTTCCAGTTTGACAGCTCGTGGACTCACTGTCCTTCTAGTCTGTGCTGCCACTGGCCGGGACGCGGCTCCTTCCTGAAGGCCGAGGAGGAGCCCCCACCGCTGCCTGGGCTCCCCAGCTCTGCACCCACCCTTCCATGTCAGAAGTTCTGCCCTGCACTCCCGTGAGGGGTCTGTCTGGGGCACCTGATGGTTATCCTTAAAGGCGGAGACTGTCTACGGTCTCTTGGTCACACCCCCACAGCTCCAAGCACAGGGCTGGCCTTACAGCAACCACCTGTGATCACCAAAGCTTCACAGCGTCAACACCAGCCTGCATGTCATGTCCTGACCCACCCTCAGCTGCAGTCTGTGGTCTACTTACAGGTTCTAGGCAATAAATAATCTGTACAGCAAGCACTTTCTCCCTGCTAGTCGCTTGTGGAGGAAAAAACAACTTTAGGTGGTTTTACAGCTTGAGGAAAGCAAGACAAGAATTTCTTGTTTTGTTGCAACCTCAACTAATATGCATGCCTCTGGGTTTTTATTTTTTTAAGTCTTTTGGCCGAGCTGCTTGGCATGTGGGACCTGAGTTCCTGACCAGGGACTGAACCCTGTGATGGAAGTGGGGAGCCTTAACCCCTGGACCGCCGGGGAAGTGTCACCTGTCAGTTTCACATTCAAAACTTTAAACCGTGAGTTAAACAAAAGCACCTACCGATTTGACCCGGCACGTCAGGGATCCAGGAAGGAGAACAAGAAGACTTGCAGGGAGTGGTGTAACCATTGGTGCCTGCGGTGAGGCTGAGCTGAGGGTCCTCGAGGAGCTGGAGCAGCCAGTCCGAGGTCACTGCAGGGGCCCGAGAGGAGCGGGAATGCAGGTCCCGTATCCACTCCTCCCAGCCCCTCGAGCCCCTCCCAGTAGCAGGTCTAAGGGGAAGGGCAGGTGTCCTCCAGAGGAGGGCCAGAGCACTGGAAGGTGACGTGGAATGAGACAGCAGGTGAGTAATCGACACGATCCACGCCTAGTTGTCCGATGGTAAAGGGCACAGACGTTACAAAGAACATTTTTATGATGACGCTATCTGCAAACACACACATATTTCACCATGTAAATTGTGCAGCCCAGTGACACTAAGTACATGCACATGGGTGTACAACCATCACGACCATCCTTCATGATGTTCTCATCTTCCAAAGGCAAACTCTGTCCAGGTAAACACTCACCCCCCGCCCTTGGCGCCCACCAGGCTGCGTCTCTGCCCTTGACTGTTCCAGGCCCCTTGGTGAGTGACAGTGTACTCGGTCTGTCCTTCTGTGCCTGGCTTATCTCACTCAGCATGATGTCCTCAAGGTTCATCCATGCTGTCCATTCCCCTGCCGAGGGACACTTGGGATGCTTCATTTGGTTACTGTGAATAAAGTTGTGAACATTAATGTACAGCATCTGTTTGTGCCCCAACTTTCAACTTTTGGAGGTGTGCACTCAGGACTGGAATTGCTGGGTCGTACTGCAGTTCTATGTCTAAATCTTTTGAGAAAGTATTGAAATGTTTTCCATGATGAAGGAGGCTACATTTTCCTTATCAAAAACACTCAAAAGATTAAGATGTGGAGTTCTGGAAGAATATCATCAGATACGTAATTTATGACTGCACAAGTAAGTGTAGCAACTCAACTGTCATTCATAAATACAAAATTTTATTTGCACTTCATTAGTGTAGAAGGACCACAATGCTTCTCATATCACAACACTCAAGACACACCAAGTTATTCAAATACATAATGACTTATTTACCTTGACTAAACAAACAGTGCAGTTTAATAAAAGATATACCGAAGATAAGAGTTCACAAATTCATTATCAGACCAGGAAAAAAAAAAAAAAAACAGTCTAGGCTTAATAGGAATAAGCTTCACCGTCGAGGGGAGAGGTTTTATCATTACAAAGGTATATAGAATGTTTAGGCAAATATGTGTAGATTCTTTGATATAGTAAAATGCATCTCTTTAAAATTCCTTTAAACAGGATTTGTGTAGGACAGCAGCGTTCTTTTAAAATCTTCTATAGTTTCAAAAACATTTCTTTTATTGAATCTTTGTAGTTCTTAAAAGCACAGAGTGCGTTCATTAGGAAACCAGAGAGATTCCGAGGCCTCAGGACCAATTCAAGTCCTACATTCTAACTAGTTATGTTCTACCATTAATGTGAATAAATAACCTTCAAGACCTTTAAGCAAGCATGGAGCTTGCTTTGTGGGAAACACTCCAATCTTTAAAGATGCTACAGCTGGGAGAAATGTAAATAAAAAAAAGCATTCAAGGTTGTTTTTCTCCCCCCAAAGTCTTTAGTTTTACAAATTTTCTTTAAAACAGTAAGCAAAGCACCACGTTCTTTCTTCTTATCAGAATATCTCCATCCTCATAATATAGTTAACAAGGACAACTATATTATGTATTTCCAGAAACATTATAGCTCTCATTTCTCCTGTTCTTCATATCAGAAGTACGACGTTCCCAGTGTACACACACTAGGCATTGGGATGATGAATGAAATATAATAATTTGGAGGGAAATATGTCATTTATAACCCAAACTTACCCAGGATTGCATATCTGCATATTTACAAGTTAGTGTATAGCTCTGACGTGGATTACAAAGTGCGAAAGGAAATTGTCAAAATGATTGTAGTGCAGAATGCGACCGTCCCCCTGTCCAGGAATTGCGCCCACTTCGCCTCCAAAGCGGCGAGTCAACAGCACCGCACGTGTGGTCTGGGCGGGGGCAGCTCTGGGGGGATCTCGGGCTCGGGTTGTAATGAGAGGATGCTGTTGGACAGCTCGTTCCTGAGCATGTCCAGGGGCATCTTGGAGATAAAGGAAAAGACAAACGCATTGTAACTCGACAATGTAAAGACTCTGCAGACTATACAATTACTGAAGACCAAAGTGTTTTTTTTACAGGAAACTCTCTAATCATCAGAGTTCAGTTATACATTCAGCCAGAACCTAAGAACCAGGTTCAGGGAGCTTCAACCATCGCAGAAAGGCTGTGCAGCCCATCTCACACCCTTTGGCGGAAGAAAGCAGACAGACCTCATCAACATTTACCTTCACAGCCCAGGGTGATGGAAACTTAAGTATCAAAAAAACGAAAAAATGGTTCTGTGTTCTCAGGGGGCATACCATTACTAAAGGAAGAAGTACCTTCTCTTGGCAGCTATACAGACAGCCATTGTATTAGACGTTTCTGAAATTACATTGCACCGAGGCGATTATGTGTAATAATAATATAAAAATACTTAAAGATGTAAGGAATCTCTGGATATAAGCCCAAAGATGCTTAACAATGTGCTGTTGTCCAATGAGGTCATCTTCCTGGTCTGGCCCCACGAAAGGCCGCACCAGACAGGAAGAGCCTCGATGGGAGGCAAGACCCTCACTGTCTGCACCTAACAGGGTTCTTGTGAGGAAACTCGAACAGGAGAGGAGCGAATGTCAGACACACACAGCCCAGTCTCCTTGGGCTTCCCTGCTGGCTCAGTAGTACAGAATCCACCTGCCAATGCAGGAGACACAGGTTCGATCCCTGGATTTGGAACATCCTCTGGAAAAGGGAATGGCAACCCACTCCAGTATTCTTGCCTGGGAAATCCCATGGACAGAGGAGCCTGGTGAGCTACAGTCCATGGGGTCACAAAGAGTCGGACGCGACTGAGCAACTAAAAAACAACAAATGGTCACAGCCACTGCACCTGTGTGCCAGGCTGAGCAAGGACGTGGAACGTGGCCCTGAGGATGTGGTGAGAGGCTGCTGCTGCGGGGGGCTGAGTCCTCAGGCTGGCTCTGCACCCCCAGGTCTCCAGCCTGACCACCGCTGGGGTTTGCTTTCTACAGGAGAGGTGCCCAACCAAAAACAGCAAAGAGAATGATGAAGAGGTTCCAGGTAATGAGCTGTCAGGACACAGGATTTTTTTTTTTTTTACCTTTTTCAGGATGTCATCGACAAGCTTCAGGAAGATCTCATCTACATTGAAGTTATCCTTGGCGCTCGCTTCACAGAACCGCATCCCGGCTATCTGCTGTGCAAACTGAGAGCACGCGTTATTGGTGTGTGTGTGTCTGTGTGTGTGTGTCTGTGTGTGTGTGTCTGTGTGTGTGTTATCCTTGGCGCTCGCTTCACAGAACCGCATCCCGGCTATCTGCTGTGCAAACTGAGAGCACGCGTTATTGGTGTGTGTGTGTGTGTGTGTGTGTGTGTGTGTGTGTGTGTGTGTTGCGGGAAGGAGGGGACGACACGTATCTAGTATAAGCACAGGGTCCATAACTGGGAGGGGAAACAGTTCTCAGGCTTTGGTGTTCAGACAAAGGCTGGGACGAAAGGTCTGGAAAGTCCTGTTTATCCTCAAACATAAAGCTCATTTACATTTGAACTTTAATGTAGGAAAGTGCAGCAACTTCCTATATGATGAGAAATCAACAGAACACAGGCTGTGAGGTGACACCAGGACCCTCAAGTAAAATTACGTGCATAAGTGTTTAAACTGTACTGTACCCAACATTTAAAATGTATCCAAAAAAGTAAAATGTGAGTGTCATCGATTTTCTGAGGAAGGTTAAGTGTTAGAATAGGAAAACATCATGAATGCAATGATATGGGTTAAAAGAACATTTCTCTGTATAAGATGTCAGGTAGGACAATAAACAATGCCGTGTATTCTCATGTGTCTTTTCTCCTTCGTTTGAAAAATGAATTTAAAGGAGCAGGAAGTTAACCAAAGCAAACAAAGACGAAGGATGTGACTGACTGCATTTTCTCAAGTCTGAACCGTAAAGTAATTGATTAGAAGGGAAAGCATGCAGGGGGCTCACTGCACGGACACGGGTGCCTCCCCTCACCGTCCATTCTCCTCACCTTTTCACCCTGCTGTCTGCTGATCTCTCTGTCAGTTTCACAGTCCAACTTATTTCCAACTAAGAGAAGCTCCGCGTCTTCCGAAGCGTACTGTGGGATCGCAACAACAGGAGCAAAATCTCAAAGCCAGCACGTCACACAAGAGGGAGACACAGCCCCAGGCCACACCTCTCACCCCTCTGAGCATCTGCTCTGACGGAGAGGGGGCTCCCACTGGGCGCAGGGCAATGTGGTCACAGGCACGAGGAACCACGGATGCTCTCAGCCCTTGACCCATGACTCCTAGGAATCTACCCTAAGGACTGACTCGAAATACAGGCAAAGCTTTGTACTCGGTCAAAAAAACCATAAAGATCCCACAAAGTGGGTGAAGAATGAAATAAGCTAAGGTACATAAAAGAGTGAAGCCATAAAAAAACAGAAAATATGCTCTGGAAGAAGAGGAAGGTGACATAGGAAGCCGCCCGGGATAGAATATTTAGTGAAATAACCATGACCTGAAACGACATGCAGTATAGATGCATTCTGGGTTTTCTGGGTGACAGCTACAGACTGTTTCAATTTGCTTTTGTGCTTTTACTTGGTTCTCTAAATTTTCTATACTGACAAGGTACTGTTAATTTTATGGTCAGGAAAAGTTAAGCTGCATTTCTAAGTTTTAAAAAACATGCAGGCACAGTAGAATCTCTCTCTTTAAAAAGGTCAAAGCTGTCTCAAGTAACTCCCTGAGTTCACATGATGGGAGAAGGACTTCCACAAAGGGTACCCAAGTGGTGACCTTGGCCAGGTTAACCAAGGAGCTCTGTCTCCTTGCCAGTAATGGGGTGACAGTTAACAGTGCCCCCAACGGGGCTGGTAAGGGGAAGAAACGGGAGCACAGCTGCACAGAGGGAGAAGCGAGAGCCGGGGATCAGACGGAGGAGGGCAGGTTCCCCAACAGAGGTGCCCTTCACACCGAGGCCACTGCCTCTCGGTAGCTACGTCACTTGGTTCTGAGCCGGCAGCGAGGATGCCCCTGTCTGGGGTCCTTGGGAACACACCCCGCGGCCCCAGAATCCCAGAGTACAGACCCAACCCTGGTTCTGACATCTCCGTAACCCTGGCAACCGGGGTCTCCAACACACTTTAAAGAGACACACATTGAAAATGCGCTCGGTAAGACCTGCAAAGGAACGTTCTCCACTATCATCTAACAGATGGGTTTAATACAATCTGTAAATGAAATCAGATTTATAATATATGAAGGGTGCTTGTTATGCAAAGGAGCTAAACCTCAAATTACTAAACGAGGGGGAAACAACTCTCAAATGTGACCACTGTTTACACACATCTCACCCTCAACGGCTTTGTCTACTCATTTCTTAGTGGGGGACCCACAGGTTATATAAACTCAGTTTATTTCTACATAGTCAACTGTGATCCAAAGGATAAAATCTTTAGTTCAAAATGAGGGGGTGAAGGCCGCCTCTAGTTTTGCAGCCAGAGGTCCAGTGGGTGACCGAGGCCTCAGCATGCCCCCGGGCAGAGTGGAGAGGGCAGGCCCCGGGAGGCTGTCACTCTGTGGACACACGCAAAGTGAGCGCTCACATGAACTTTCTGCAGAAATAATAAAATCTGTCCTGTATCTGATTCCACGGAAGCAGCCGACCCCTGTGGGATGACCATGTGTGGGCTTTGATGTCAGACAGCCCAGGGACCAGAACACCAGTCCAGGCTTCCTCATGTACAAGCTGATCCTGAAGACATTCCAGCTCTTCTCTGCCTCACCTGTGATGCAGGACTATGCACCTACTTTGAATGCAGTCTGGATTAAGTGATGTTCGGGATGGAAAAGCACGCTCCGCGACTGTTTCCCTTCCTCCTGTTGTCACTATTAACACCCACAGCGGAGAGTTCACATCTGGGAGAGAAAGGCCAACACCTACCTTATCGATCATCTTCATCCATTTTGGCAAATCATCGAATGTCTCCTTCTTAGTGATGTCGTAGACTAATATGATCCCCTTGGCACTTCTGTAATAAGCTGAGGTAATGCTGTTGAATCTCTCCTGACCTGCCGTGTCCCTGAGAAACAGCAGCAAAAGTCAGTCCCCGAACATGGTGGACAGGGAAGACTCAGCCCAACCGTGACAACTCCCCACAGGTCTGTGCACGTTTGGTATTACTGGGGGCAGCTTCTCTGAGCTAGGTGCTTTCAAAAATCTTAAGGAAGTCCCAATTTCTCCCACACCAAGATTCTGGAAAGAAGTAAATGCCGTGTATAACAGTAGAAAGTGCAACACCCCATAACTTGATGGTTATCAATGACAAAATGTATGGGTGATATTTAATTTAAACAATTTAAGCCTAGCAATCTCTATTAACCAACCTCAATGGTGAGTATCTCATCTGAATTCGCTGATAAGACCACGAATAGTCCCCACTAACGAAAAGTGCTATAGTCTTTGTCATTTTCTTGGTCCTTCAAACAGGTAAAGGAGGAAGAGGACCCCCAAACTTTGCAAACACGGTCAGGTTGACTACTCTCCGACCGTGACCTTGAAATCTAAAGCTTTCTCTCTTCTCCAGGAAAAGCTGACGTTTCCACAGGAAGATATACACATATTAACAGTGCACACTAGCTGGCCGAGACCCACTTTCTCCACCTAGGAAGCTGAGAAACTGCGTGAGAACTATCACAAATTTACAAATGAGGCTCAAGAGAGCAGGCCTTCTGACCAGTAAAATGATTTCTTTTAAGCCGATCTGTAATTTAGCTTTTCCCAAAGAACCCTAACTCTCAGCACACTCCGGGAGCCCTGTGACACAGGTGGCTTGTGGTGGAGAAAGCGAGGGGCAGTGGGGGACACAGAAAACGAGGTTCTTCCTTGCAAGATGCTCACAGACTCTCACAGGACAGCGCTGAGCTTCCGAAAGGGGGAGACACTGAAACCTCTTCCAAGTGCATTGGATGGGGTGAACCTTGTGGGGTCGTGTCCCTAAAGCCCCCACACACACTTCGCAAAGGTGCTGTAGTTGACGCCTTTGTTCCAGGCCAGACTCGCCACCAAATTAGCTCCCCTTAGGGATGTGTCATCAGGCCAAACAATGAAGCCTGTCGGCAAATTCATTTTCACATAAAGCAAAGCCGACACTTTGCCCCAGGGGATGTAAGACTCCCCAGTGCTCTTCCAAGGCTGGAAGGCCCAGGGGCTTAGGCTGGTCTGCTTTGTCCACCAGGGTCCAGGGGGCCTGGCCAACCACAGGCCCTCCATCTACACATGCAAAACAAAAGGCAAAACAAAAGGCTATGTGTGCAAAATGCAGAAAGTGGATGCCAATTCAAGGCAAAATAAACTTTATTTTTTGACTCAAAACTGCCCCCAAACTGGATTCCTGAAGAATTCAGGGTAAAATAAAACCAACTTGCAGACACTAAAAGGCACCTTCCAATCAGGTGAGAAGGAACTGACTCAGATACTGTTTCATTCACATGAGGAATCAGTGAATAAAATTATTCCCGGGACCCTAGGCATTTAGGGGCGTAATTAATACTTTAAAAAAAAAGTATCTTCCTGACTGTGGTTTCTCTTCCTATCACAGTGCTGGCTTGTTCAAGTTAGGGTTTGATAAAACAGCTCTCACTCACTTCTTTAAAAAGCAAAAATAACATGTTTTTCCACTCTGAAGTCTGGGGTTAGCGCATTATAGCTGCAGCACAAATTTAAAACAGCAACTGGGTATAAGGTGTTCACCAAGCATTTGGGGAATTATGTGCTCTCGTGAGTATATATGATAAGTAGTTTTATCATGGCTTTTAGCGTAAATCAGTTTCACATTTGTTTCTCTAAACATTCACTCAGTTAGGATTCAGAAAGTGGGGGCTGAAGAACAGAGACATTAGACATAATACAAGCTTTTGGAAAATCATTTCAAGGCTGCTGTGGTAAGAACACTTAACATGAGGTCTGACCTCGGAAGCAGGAACAACAAAGCACCACTACCCACAAGCATGACATTGCACAGCAGACTCCTGGAGAAGTTTTAATAAAAACCCAACAATCAAAGAGTTGGGATAGTAATAGGCATTTCTGATATTAAGATTCTGTGGAAAAGGAAATGGCAGCCCACTCCAGTATTCTTACCTGGGAAGTCCTAAGGACAGAGAAGCCTGGCGGGCTATAGTCCAGGGGGTTGCAAAGAGTCGGACGCAACTGAAGCGACTCAACAACAACAAACGGTTAGCGTACAAGACGCCAGTGAGGGAACATCAAGGCCATTCCCTAAACTCCATCTCTGTGACCAGTTCTTGACTGTGTGAGGCAGAAAAGCATCTCCACTGAAGAGAATAATCCATATTTCCAAAATATCTGGGTTGCCAGAGTTTTAATTTTCTATTCCTCTTCAGGTCTCCTGTTTGATCATTTCCCCACTGAATTATCTGCTCTCACAGACGGTCAGAGAGCAAGGTAAATAGAATCCAATTCAGTTCAGCAAGTATTTATTAAATTCCTACTCTGAGCCAGGACCGCAAAAATTCCACCCCAGTCTCCATGTCTCACACAGCTGGACAGTAATATAATACCAATGCCCCAGTTGGGCTTTTATCTATCCAACGAGATGTAGAATCCTCATATTCCCACCTTTATCTCAATGAACCTTAGTTTCCACTGTAATGACCGAGAGCTGACTTTCAGAGATTTACAGTTTATTACCATCAGCCAAATCATCATTTATTGTGTGTGGAACATGATATTATTATTATTATTATTATGTCTCTCTCTGCTTTGGGGACAAATTGAAAACTTCCTGCCGTCCTTTCCCCCCAGTTTGGTACTACAACCATGCTTTGAAAAACCATCATTCTTCTGTATTTACTATATCTGGTGAAATGACACAATTCTTAATTTGCAGGAATCAATGTCAGTGTATGAAAGCTCCACCTCTTCAAGCAGAGAATGAAAGGAAACAAGCTTGATGTCAACACAGGGACTCCAGTGGAAACCAAATTCGCCATCAGTGAGCACTGGACCGAACAGGAGACCTTCCTATGGAGCACCTTTTTTGGGGGGTGAGGTGGGGTGGGGGGCACGCCATGCAGCACGTGGGATTTTAGCTCCCCAACCAGGGATCAAACCCACACCCCCTGCATTGGATGCTCTGTAGGGGGAACTTCCACTGGACTGCCAAGGAAGTCCCCCATACGGAGCATCTTAATTATGTGTTTGCCATGAGGCAGGAGGCCAGTTTTTCAGCTTCAAGTCCATGTCAACACAACAGCTGGAAGCCTGTGTAATTTCCAGGATAGGCGCTGCTGCTGCTGTTAGGCCACTCAACTGTGTCTGACTCTTTGTGACCCCAAGGACTATAGCCTGCCAGGCTCCTTGTCCATGGGATTTCCCAGGCAAGAATACTAAAGTGGGGTGCCATTTCCTTCTTTCCTTCCTTTCCTTCTGCAGGGGGTCTTCCCGACCCAGGGATCGAACCCACGTCTCCCGCACTGGCAGGCGGATTCTTTACCACTGAGCCACCATGTGGATGTAAATTCATGAATCTACATTTGGGTTGACGTCTTATTTTAGCTATACTTACACCAAGTTCTATATACATACACGTAGACAACACTTCAAGCAGAGATGGGAAAATGGTCCTTTTTCTAACCACAGATGATCAAGGAACTTCCCAAAGACACGAAAAACAAAAGCACAAGACAAATAAGCAACCCCCGTAACCCCCAGTCCTTCAGGCGGGTGGAACAGCCAGCGATGACCCACGGGACGTTACCTGACAGCCGGCGGGCGCCCCGCTCGGGGGCGCGGGTGGGGGTGAGACATGGCACTAACACGGAAGCACTAGGTGGCGATGGAGCCGCCGGCGCGGCAGCAATGAACGCGATGGAAGCGACACACACACGACGGACAGACAGAGCTGAGGTCCACCTGCGAGAGGAGTTAGTGGCTGAGACGCTGCGGCAAGACGGTGTTAGCGACAAGGGTGGCGCAGACGCCACTCCCTGCTCCACAGGGGCACCTCCCGGGTCCCTAAGGAAGGGTGGCTGAGCGGGCCCCCGCACGGCTGGGTCAGTCTCTCACAAGCTCCTGGGGTACGGGGAGGGGGCTCTGGGCTCCCCGCACGGGGCACAGAGGAGCTCAGGGCACACGCGTCCCACCGAGGACATGCCCAAGATGTGCAGCTCTGGGCTGGGGGCCGGGAGTAGGGGAGCACGCTGGCCTTTCTCCAGATGCTTGCAGAGTAAGTAACTCTGAACACGTGTAGACAGCACTGAAGGGATCGGCTCAGCGACCACGGTTTGTCGGATGACGTCAAACTAGACTAAAGGCTCCAAGCCAGTCACCTTGGAAGTATCACAACAGTCTCTCTACGACCCCCGTGGCAAGCGGGGCTGAGCTCCACGGGCTCTTTCCTGAACGCTCTCTAGAAGGAAGCTCCGTTCACTTTCCTTGAAGGAGAGCGGAGGAGAGGAAATGCAGGAGAGACAGACCAGCTCCGACGGTTAATTGTATTAGACAAGCGTGTGGACTGCTGAACACACACGGTGATAACTGGGTGCAGGGCCCCACTTACCAGATCTGTAGCCTAATTTTCTTTCCTCTTAGCTCTACGGTTTTGATCTTAAAGTCAACACCTGTAAATAAAATGGACGAAGATGAAGCAAAAACAAGGCAATCTGTCAGAAAAGCAGTACTATTTGTATGCCATTGTTGGAAAAACCATAAAACTGACCACACTGAATTCCAAAAGGAAAGGGAAGAAATCCACTGGTCCCCGAGGCGAGTACACTCTCTGCTTCTCCGCACAACGCGTGAGAGTATGTTAGGTTCTACCCCGAACTGGAGATGAAGCACTTGCTATTTGCAATCGAGTTTAATACTACTAGAGGTGCAGCTTAAAATCCACTTAAAAATCACAATGAATCATCACACAAACAAACAATGGCTTTATACACATGCTATCTTGGGGGGAAATTCTTAACGTGGAGCACTGGAAACTCAATCTTGATTTCAAACAGCCACAGTCTGAATTAAGAAATTCACAAAAGTGACTTTATTATATTGCCAATAGTGTGGAAGAGAAATTCTTTTTGAAAAATTTTACTCATACAAATTAATTTTATTTTTATTTATTTTTATTATTATTTTTAAAATTTTATTTTTAAAATTACTTTAATAGTAGCAAGCAAACCATGGCAAATCTCCATCCCTCTCCAGTTCAGCCCTTAAGGCTTCAGATAATTTTTTAGAGCAAATTTTCACCTGTGGATATTTCCTTATCTACTTGTCAGTTACAGAAAACTTCAATACTTTTTAAATACAAATTTCATAATATTTGTGAAATAATATAAAACAGTATTTTTTACACAATTCTCACAACTAAGAAAAAAAAAATAACCAGCTAAAAAAATAACGCCAGCTAAATGTGGGAAGTGGAAACCTAATCTCTATGGGAACTATTAATATTTTTTGGCTGCTTTACGGATCCAGGGTCCCGATGCTGTGAGGTGGAGGATGGAGGGGGCACGACATAGCTCTTCAAAGTCAGATGATGTTCCTGAGGTGACGGGCAAGGCGTGTGACTGACTTTTATAATTAGCAACACGCCACAGACATCAATGCAACCAGAAGATGTGTTTACAAGCTTGGGTGGGACTGAGGTCTGTACAACAGAGAAACATTGCAGGAATATAAAAGTCATGGCTGGAGAAGGGGCCACAGCACCTCGCACCCTGGTTCTTACTCTCTCCCCTAGCCCTCATCTCAAAGCTCATGCAAATGCTGGGGAAGCCAATTTCACTTTCAGTTCTGGAACAGCTTTGCTTTTCCAAGTCAGATGATTCTCAGACAGCCTTGGAACAGGAAGCGTGTCTGTACACGACCAACATCCTCAAGCAGAGACCAAGCGGAATCCTTTGTGCTTCAACCACAGGGAAGCGCAGAGCCTAACGCGATACTCTACGAGTCACAGGAACCAGCCTGCACCTATGTGCTATGCTCTGATTTTGAAAAGGCACAGCTCAGACAAAACCCCTTCTTCCTGATATCAGCATAAAGCTAGGGCCTCACCATGTTACTCTGTGAGGGCGATTTACAAATCTAATTCACACTGTATCATGGCCACTATTCTGTTTTGCTTTTGTTTCTAGTTTTTTTTTTTTTTTTTTCAGTTTTACTTAGGGGAGCTGGCCACTTGTTACAACTTGTTGCAGCGGCTGCCACATTTTACTGAAAAGAACTAGCAGATACTTCTCTTGTGAGCTCTGCTTCAAGTTAAGGACAAGAATCTCTAGAAACAGCACAAATAATTTTTGTTTTGATTAGGCTGTTTTCTCTGCTAAGAACCGCTCTCAGTCTGATCATGTCAAGTCTTTTTTTTTTCCAACCAACTCGAACAACTTTCTGACTTTAGCAGTCCTGCACTATATTTTGTAATCACAAAATTTAATGAATAAAAATAAAGGAAAGGGTATTAATAGTCAAAAGCAGGAATAAGTGGTAGTGTTATCATGTGATTATAAATACACTGCTAAGCAAAGATGAACGAACAGCAAACAGGATGAAGAACGTGTTTCGCCCAAACTACCTAGTTTTAGTGAGTAGATTAAAGACATTAACAACAATAGAAAAATACCCACTGGCTAAATCTAAAATCCCACAAAAGGAAAAAGCTCATTAAAATAGTGCTTGCTCTTAAATGAAGTCTCTTTTACCATATAGTAACCACTATATAGCTAACCACTAGGTTAGCTAGTGATGACTGGAAACTTACTCCAATCTATGGCTTAGAAACAAATCTTTACATCAAAGTATACAGCTACACATTTTTAAAAAGCTTTTTTACATTAGGTAAAAATATCTCTTAGTGTCCATTGTTAACATTTGCAGGTCATAGAAATTATAATGATCCTGAATAAAAGGTAGAAAGTCACCAACCACCTCAAGGAGGGGATTAGTTTTGGGAAAAGTCAGCACAGAGTCTCCTGACTCAACAGGGGGGCCCAGGACCAATGTTTATAAACAGATAAGGGACCAAAAAAGGTCGTAGCTTTTATTGAAAACCCATTTCCTACAGTGTCCTGACCATCCAGGGAAGCAAGCAGCTACAACTCTGTTGGGTGGTAGAGGCAGTCCCATCCTGAAGACCTGAGTCATCCAGACCTAAACCGACAGGCACTTGGTGAAACGCCCTCTCTGCTCTCCTCTCCTGGAGTACCTCCCCGTCTGCCCAGAAGCCTTTTCAGGCCCAGGGGTCCCCTTCTGCGCCTCCCGACGGCTCACCTGCCCCCCTCCCTCCCAGTCCTGCCCGTCCAGCCCTGCCCCGTGGCTCCGCTGGTCCCCCCCAGGTGACAGAACAGGCGCCTTCTCAGGACAGTCACCTCTGGCCTTTGGCGCCTAGAACGCTGCTGGGCACAGGGCAGCGGTCCAGCAAATCTGATGGAGACCCGCCCCTCTTCTCCATCGAACGCTGGGTGTGTGTTTAAATTGTAGGAAGGAAGTACGGATGCTCTGTCGTGAGCCCGTCTGGCGGGCAGAGCAGCAGGATTCAGGGTGCCTGGCACACACACTTCACCCTGGAACCTGAGCATTCCATTTCTCCTACAATCGCAGCTTGTGGTTGTTTAGTCCCTACGTTGTGTCTGACTGTCTTGCGACCCCACGGACTGTGGCCCGCCAGGCTCTTCTGTCCACGGGATTTCCCAGGCGAGAATACTGGAGTGGGTTGCCAGTTCCTCCTCAAGGGGATCTTCCTGACCCAGGGATTGAACCCATGTCCCCTGAAGCAGCAGGCGGATTCTTCACCGCTGAGCCACCAGGGGAGCCCTTACAACTCCTGTTTCCGGTGGAACATACTTAGAGGAGGGTGGTCTTCATGTGGCCAGGTCCTCTCCCTGAACACGCCACCCCCACCCCCAGGGGAGTATCACAGGGGCCGCTTACTCAGTCACCGAGACCGGAAGTGATCCACGAAGAGAACGTCCTGCTGGGCGACAGGGGTCTACGTCTTCCTAAACGCATTTCCATCGGGAAGGACACAGGCCACAGGCTGTAATCCTTCTGTTGTATAGACACGACTATTCTACTCAAGTCTTTCTTGATCTTAATTCCCTTTAATAATGACGACAGTGTCTATCAGACCCCTGAGCCTGGCATGCAACATGTCGGCTCCCTCAGGAGCCCAGCAAGCTGGCGCTACCCTCATAGAACAGAGGAGAGACCAAGGTCAGATCACTTCTGCTAGCTGAGTGGCAGAACCTAGGTTCAAATTTATAACACTGTCCACAACCAAAAGCTGTTATAGAAGTCAAACATGTGGAAACAGGGAAAGTGTGAAAATCTTCTGCAAGTGGCCCAGGTCACCATAACTGTTCTTGAAGCTCTTCAAGAACAGAGCTTCACCTGGCCCTGTCACCTCTGTACACTGTTGTTTCATTAATCTCAGCAAGAGCATAAAGAATTGTCACACTCAGTGCTGGTTAAGATTTTGAGGCTCCCCGGCAGGCGAAACATATCCAAAAAAAAACATTACCCTGTTACTTTTTACTGAGGCATAAAAAGTCACAAAAATGAAAATAGCAAAAATAAACAGAAGTTTCTTTCTTCACATCCCCTTCCAGCACAAAGTTTAATAAAAGCAGAAATGACCAGTGGCCCACGCCTGGGATACAGCTGAGTGTTCGTCCCCCCTCACCCACCCCCCCACAACAACAAGGACTTGGGGTTGGTGTGAGAGTATGATTTTAGTTGACTTCAGTTCAGATACTGCAGTCCATGGGGTTCCAAAAGAGTTGGACACCACTCAGCAAATAACCAACAACAAAACAGGTTCTGGAGGCTGTAGGATTTCACACTTTGAAATCAAGTTTCAGTTCAAGCAGTGGTGACAAATTGTTATTAACTGTTACTGCCAATTTATAAGAACTATCTTGGGATCACAGGCTGGCCTTTCTCCCAAGGACATATATCTTTCAGTGTCACCCCATCCTGGACGTAATCTTTCCCCTGATGGAGGCTTCCCCGCATTTCCACTGAGTTGACAGTGAGAAAGTAAACTAAGAAATGTGTCAAGGTCACCCAGACGGAGGAACATTTACTATCAGAAAGCGGTTTCTTGACCATGAGGCCAGCCTTCCACCTGACCACTGTCCTTCGGGAGAAAGCACAGACGCATCCCCCCAGGAAAGCACCCTACAAAGGGCAGGCAAGGCAGACGACCCTCCTGTACTGCCCCGGGTGGGTCCCGAACCACAGTTTAATATCATGGGGCTTCTCTTACTTAAGCCGAGCTATGAGAACTCAACGGAACAAAGTAATGCAACTGTAAAATACTTGGATCGCCTCAGAAACAGGTGCTACTAGAATAGTTTAAATGATCGCATGTCATTAAACAATGCTCACAGGCCTGAGGATATCCAGCGTCTGCCCTGAGTCTAACAAGACCCGCCTCCGCAGTCCAGACTGGGCGGTCTGTATCCCAGCAAACAGACAGTCCGCGTCCCTCACCTGCACACACACAGGAGACAGTCCTGCACCCGGCTGGAAGAGACATGCCGCACATGAACTTCACAGGCGGGGCAGAGGGAAGTGGAGGCGGGGTAGTCGAGGTTACGGAGCACATGGGCCCCCCTTTTCA